TGTGCATGAAAGCAGGCTTAGCTGTGAGACGATTGCGCTGTCGGCTTCCGTCAATCAAATGAGACGGAAGTATCGATTGCATTTGGGCGTACGCGCTTATGAATTGGCGAGTGTGGCGATAACGTAGGAAAGGCCGATAGCCCGCGGAGTAGATGATTAGGCATGGGTGTCAGCTCTGGCAGAGCGAAAGCAGAATGAGTCAGTGCAGTTGCGCTAGACGGCAGACTCCTACAGTACCCCTCGGCAAGACCAAAGTTGGCGTATAGCGATGCCAAACGCACGGTTGATGCCTAAATATATACGTAACAAAACGGTCAGGAAAGGGAACATGACGTCCACTTCGGATGACATATACATGAGTCTGAGGAGGGGAACTGGTGTGGGCAGTGACAGAAGCGTCTGAGGCAGTCGCAGAAGTGTTAGACTTTGAGGCAGTAACAGAAGTATTAGGGTTTGAGACAGTAGCAGCTTGAGGTTAAGAACAAGAAGGAAGAGGTAAAATGTGGGACGGGTATTGGAGGAGGGAAAACAGGGGGCCAGGAAGACCATATAACTTGTCGGACTCAGAGTCCGGGAGAGCAGCTTTGACCCTGTCAACGTTCACGACCTTCCCGCGCCTGCAGAGCGAAAGCAGAATGAGTCCGCGCAACTGCACTGTATGGGAGACTATTACAGACTGAACACTGTGGACGTCTGAAAGGGACGAAGGCCGCTGAACGCTGTCAACGAAGCGCCGGCGTCATTCATCAACGAAGACAGAACACGCCTAGGAGACAAGCTTGTCGCCCATCTGGAGTAGGTGAGACATATATTTTGCTAAAACACGCTGAAAATATACGCATTACTTACGAATTATGCTGCAAACGAAAGATATTTGGATAGATTTTTTAGAGAAAATTCTTTTTTTTACTCATAACATGTCATATCAATTCGTAGATGATATCGAAAAATACTTAGCAATACGAAATTCTCCTAGGTTTAATTTTTTTTGAAAAATCATGACTTTGCTTCTTAGAAGTGGGTATGAATATGTCAACATTAATTTCCACAAACTCCTTAAGTAGTCTTTACTGGAGCGTTAAAACAAGGTTAACTCCTGTTGGTTTTATAAACGCTCCGTTTAAGAGACACTCCCCTATAAACAAACCCTATCGCTTCACTATATAAAGAAACTGATCTCCTTAATGAACTGGCAAATAAATGTGGCAAATTTTAATAGATTACAAAAGCAAAGCTTAGAGTTTTAATACTAATTAGCTTTCAGTAAAGACATAATTTTGGAGTGTCGAGCTGTTTTATTAGATCAGGTAACATGCTAGTTGTTGGACTCGATACAGAAAACACAAGCTCCAGTATTTTGTTGTGGGGTGCTGTGATAATAGGCGTTATGTGGCTGAGGCGTGACAGAGCAAGGAAACATTACCTAAAAAGCAGATCGGAAAAAGTAGGAAGTAAATGGAAAAAGTATCTTGATGAACTTATTCGTTTTCTTTGGGGAATGGTAAAATTGATAACCTTAATTTGGCAACATAAAAGTGCGCGATCATTTAAATGCGAAATAAGACTAACGGGAAAAAAGGACGCCGTAAATTGCGGAAATGCAGGCAGAACTGCAAAGTGTCGAGAATAATGAACGACTATAAAAGGTAGGCTTTTTACCCATTTTTCATCAAAAAGGTGACCATATGTCCCTACTAAAACTAAACTAACTAGAAAAAGGTAAAATACAGTAAACTGAACCGACTAAGATAAAAAACTAAACTATAATTAAAACAAAACTTGTAAAGGTTAATAATAATGTACAAATTACAGGCATATTTAACTCCTGGGATATGTTGGACCCCGACAAATCCTGCCGACTGACTTAATAAGTTGCACCAACTTGCCCAAATCGTCTACTTGTATAAATAACGGTAGAGACGACTGCAATCAGGGTGCACATGTGGTCCTGGACGCAAGAACCAAATTGCCTTTGGGTACGACTCTCATCCGACTACAGTGCTTGTACCTATCCGCTCCTACACACTTCATTCATTCTATCCTCTCAGTATTTATACCGACTGTCCGTAGATAAAATACCACATGCCCGACCTCCTCCTTGCTGTAACTAATGAACATAACCCGATTTTTCTTCTCCGAATATTCTTATTTTTAACTTTAAGTCAGTTTGTTAAATAGATATTTCTACCGCAATTAATTATGGAGTGTGATAGCGAAATAGGACAGGTGAACAGGGTTTATGAATGCGTAATTTCTCTTTAATGGTCGGTTTTACAGGCAGGCAGACGGTTTTGTGGTAGGTTGACCGCTTGAGCCGTATCTTTTTAGTGTCCTTGTGGGTGAGATCGCGAAAACGAACCTTAGGGATTTCACGAATGACCTCGAACTTAACCGTTGCACGGGCCCCAACACTGATACCGATGCCGTCGCCCGAGATTTTAATAGTGCGCATCTATCGCTCAATTCTTCTGCAGAGCCTGAGGGGGATATTGGCATCACGTTCATTGATGTCCTTCTACCATTGCAACGGGAGAAATCGATCGCGCCTAGGGTATTACAGGGATTGGCCGCTGGAGCAGGTATCTGCTGTCCTGAAACTGTTGATGCAAGTCTCCAGCAGCTGCAACACATACTTACCGAAAACAATCTCCCAACATATTCCCACTCAGGAATATTCGCGAATGAATCAAAAGGCCTGCTACGTTAGCTGAAGAAAAAAAGTAGTTGTATAAGGCTGTCTCCCTTAGGCGATACAATGAGCGAATTGATTAGACGCTGACTGAAGACAGCGATTACAAGCGCTTTCCTTGTTGCGAATCTACGCTTATTCTTCACCACTCCCGTTGGAGGCCGCATCTACTTGCTTCAACTATTTGATTATATCTCGTGGAGCAGCATATATTCGTCGAACAACGTGACGAATAGTAAAGAGGATATGTAAACACCCACCAAGTGAGTCAGTAATGATTAAAATAGAGCGATCTAGACTTCTATTCTTGCACACCTTGTCAATAAGAATCACTGAGACGACCCTAACGCAGCCTTTCAGATTCTCTTCCGGACACCAGTCAACTTCTCCGAGGGCTTTCGTCAATGGGTGCTGGCAAAGGCCGCTACAGTGACTTTGCGGCTAGTGAGTTAAATGTTGTGTTGTCAAAATACGCGAATCCAAGCTCACCCTCTTCCGTGGCGGACGCGGAAGCCGGGCGTCTCCCAACCCCATAAAAACTATATAATCAATGCACGTGACAGTTCTTTTTTAATCGCAGCAGTCGATCAAGGAACAATAGCCATAGCCTACCCAATTTTCTCGCTCTCCCCATTCAATGACCACTATTTGCCGATTTCGGGATGCGAACGGTGAAAATAGTGATTTTTGATCCTAAGATACTAAGGTACCTCTTACAACCCTTCTTCCTTTTCATTATCACTCCTTCCGTACAGGCCCGATGCTAAATCGTTTAAAAACATGTGTTCGCCAAATAGAATTTTAAAATTTTCCATGGG